AAGGCCCTTGCCGCATGGTTTTCAATGGGCGGAAGGCGAACAAAAAGAGTTCGAAATAGGGACTTAACGCAGAAGGCTGCATTTCTCCAGCGCCTCATAATTTGACGAGCCTTGCACGAAAAGCATGTTTTTTTGGCCATCCCGCGTCCTGTTTTTTTTATCCAGAACATGGGTCTAAAGTATCAAACTGCCGACTCGTCTACAACCTCGAAAAAGAGCTCGCAGTGGTCCATTGCGCTCGGGTTCGTAGCAGACATATTGTTTTCCACGTGCCGCCGCTGCTACCTGATAGCTAGAGTATGCGTTCCTCGTTAATGTATTATTCCATCGCATTTGTGTTCACAATCATTTCATAATTTGATACTTATATATATTCAATTTGTTATACTACATTAAACAAGATATATTTATGCATCCCTGATTTTTATTTTGAGTTCGTGGGTCCGAGGCTGCTCCCTGTGGCTGTAAGGGGAGCTTGGCGAGCTACGTTTAAAACAGGACCTCCCTTAGCGAAAAGGACCTTTATGCGCCGTGTGATCACGATCTCCATCTACCTTTACGACAGGTACCTGGGCTAAAGGTACCTTTACGCTGCCGTGTGATTTGGGTATTGTTGGAATTACTTTAGGTGTGAATCTTTGGGTCAAAGTGATGAAGAAGAAGTATAAAGTCTCACTTGATAGTCAGCGGTGTGTATGTCCCTGTTTCTCCCTGTCTGTGTTTTGTCCCTATCTTTCTAGCTGACCGCTCACTTTTACCTCATTACCTTCGGGCTTTTTGTAAGCTATCTCCTGATTGATTCAATCAGAACAAAAGGTCGATAGAAAAACTCCACCTGCTGACAGCTACCGATCTTCTCGGCGCCGATGATGAGTATTCACTGGTTGCCTAGGGTTTGCGACTGAGCGCCTGCCGACAGCGAGCTTTTGCCACGTGATTTAATAATTGTTCTTCAAACAACATCGTTTTACCCGAGCGACCACATGCGAAGCTGTGAATATTCTGTGTTTATTGCGACATACGTGGCCAATAGCATAGGTGTTTTGCAATCCGCGAAATAGTTTGCTTCTGGGTTAGCTTGGTCTCTCTAATGCATGCCGCACACGAAATAGCACGAGCTGAATCCCAGTGGGATTATAAACTGTAACAATAATGATGAACAAGTGTGTAGTCATGTGAAAACTGAGGACATTGCATTTATGCAGAAGGCAGGCTTTGTTTCATCAAATATACTTTCCTATTTCACCTTATGACATACCGCCTTAACGGAGCTGTGCAACGATATTAATGTTGAAAGAATTGGCATCTTCTACTTTTGACACTGTTTATCTTGTCACAAAGGACAGGCAACACGTATCCTTTCTTCGAAATGTTGCGATTCTGCCGCGTAATCGCGAGGCAAAAATTAGAATATTCCCCGACCTGCAGCCGCGAGCGGCGGCCATGAGTACCACGTGGCCTGACGACAATGGGGGACTTTTAAAAAGATAGCAAGTTGTACAAATACCTGCTCGATAAAAAGTATTTTTTTTATAAATCTTGTCGTTGCAACATAAATATAAATGCTTGAAGAACCTGGTATCATTGACAAAACCTTTATAGTACGGAGTTTTAGTTGCGCCATCTATCCGAGGTCAACAAAACCGTCAGCTCTTTGTGCTACCGCGAACGGCCGCCAGAAGCCAGAGGGGGACGGGGACAAAGACGGACTGGGATGGCAGGACCCGGACGTTGACAGTTTCCTCTCTTCGTATTGCGGAACAATTTAAAAAAAAAACATCAAGATTGTTTCTATTGTTTTCTTGATGAGTTTACGGGAAAAGTAACGTGAAAGTAATTTGTAACGTAACGAGTAAAGTAATCCGTTACTTTTCAACGAAATTAATTTGAAACGGTGATTTATTACATTAGAGTCTCGGTAATTTGTAATTGTAATTCACTACATTTTTCAAGTAGCGGGCACAAGTCTGGATGAAATTGCAGGGGGCGCTGCGTGCGATGGGCGTGCTGTTATAGCTGCCACCTTCCTCACTCTTTACCTTCTTCGGTCTCAACAAGCTTAATGAAGAAAGCATTTTTGACTTCTCTGCCTTGTTAGCAAGGAGAGATTTACTTTTGTTAGGCTGTGAGGTGCATGCAGTGGCGATAACAAGCATACTCATGTTCTTTATCCTCCTCCTTTTCCGTCTTTGCGCCAAAGCAATGAACAACGAGAGGGTAGCAAAGCGAGAGCTAGTGCCACTAGCGAGAGCGGCTAAGGCTTCCGAAGACCAGGAGGTGTAAATAATTAATCTGCGAAGTGCTAATTTGCTGATGTCGCTCGTATTTTCTTCAGATTTCTTTTGTGGCTTGGTAACTGCCAAATTCTAGCACGCCGATTGCTCGCAGCGCCACCACGCGCTTTCATTCCAGAGCAGTCACCGAGGGTGGCAGTGGACGGAAGTCTAGCCATAGTTGTTGGGACGATCTACGTTGTTGTTGTTGCTGTTTTTAAGGGGGATTGATGGCCGAGTGGGCTAGCGCACACTAGATCGGAGCACGTGGAGCGAAAGCTCGCGCTGCAGAACCATAGGGACCCTTGGTTCGATCCACACCCCTGCCCGTTTCGATCTGGATGAGCATCGTACCGGCGTGCGGTCGTGTATCACTCCTGCCTGCTGCACGTTAAAGACCCCAGGCTAGCGGTTGTATTGCACTGGCTAAATTGCTCATCTACAGCTGGGAGACAAGTCGCCCGTTGAGGCAGACTAAGTTCTATGCTCTATAAACATATACACTCCCCAATTTTTTTAAATTTTTTTAAGCGAATGGCGGCGGAGCTTTTGCTCGTGGCACATGTCTTTTTCGTTTTCACAACAATGGTGTATCAAGGGACCTTAGTACGACCGTCACTTCTCCGCCAGGTAGTCCATCGTAGTGAAATGCTGCAGTATGAATGGGTGTTTAGCAGCACAAACGCGAATTCACCTCTTTGGCACGTTTCGCTCATACAGTGTCGAACAAGAATTTTTAGTGCATAAGCTGAGTTTATACAAGTCTCACTCACAAGGTTCAGGTCCGCCGAGCTCCCCGGGACCTTGCCAAGACGGCGGAAAAACGTGCTGGCGATGAGCCGCCACACTTGCCCAACGACCCGACACACTGTGGGCAATCGTACAACTGAATGTCTCAACGCCATGAACTGCAACGCGATCAAAAGCTGGGGCACTGGAGGGATCTGCAGACAGCGACTGTTCTCGTACTCCTCCAGTGACAGGAGCTTCAGGAGGCTCGTTACCGTCGCTTTCGTGAAGCAGTAGCGTGCCAGAAATTCGCGGCCGTTGAACACCTCCATCGCGTTCAGCCTGTTCCTGAAACCACGCCGTGGCACTGGAAGGCTCCCATCTTCGATGTCATGCAGGAGTTCATCGGTTCTGAGGACAAAACCAATTAACTCGGTGAATGACATGTCAGCCGCCATAACACCCAAAAACATACTCGTGTCTCGATGAAAGTCTCGACGTACCTCCGACGCGACATTAAAATTTTCGAGGAAATGGTTGAGTGTTGCCTCAGTCGAGTCGAGTTTCGCACTGAGTTTGAACTATGAAACGCAAAACCGGCCTCGAGTGGAGTTCGAATGGAGTCTCGAGTCGAGTAGCGTGTAAGAATAAGAATTAAAAATTCACCAATAAGTAGCGAATTCGCTGTCCCAGCATTGTGTCTTGATCACCAGACGCTTCCGATTTTACTCAATGTTTTAGAGTTTATCCTACGTATGCGCAATCAATCTTCATTTTATCCAGAAAAAAAAAATTACATAGCGATTCAATTGTCAGAAGTTGTGATCTTGACAGCACAAGCTCGTCGTCTCTGAGTAGTATAGCAGAACTTTGCATCGATTCCAGGAAGAGAAAAACCTGCCTCCAAGTTCAATCATCTGAAAAAGAAAAAACAAAGCACCCTGAACGAAATAAATTCTCCGTCAGACTGCGTAGATGAGCTTGAGGTTTCGAGACAAGAAGATCATGCAAACGAACTGTGGCGCTGGGTTGGGTCAGTGCATACAATAAGATTTGACTCGATTACATTTTTGACATTTTGGGGCCGGAGAAAATGGAGCAAAAACGAACGAAGCGAAAGAGGATACGCTTGTTTGATCTTTGGAACAACAAAAACATATTCAACATTCAAACAGCTGCCCCTTCGAGTCCGACCACTCAGAGCATAAGGAAATACTTGATCTCAAGTGTTCTGTGCAGTGTTGGAAGTCGCGGCCCACGAGCGCGTAGCTTTAAAGTGCTCTTCTTACTCGAGCTGAGCAAACAAAGCGCCTTGTCGAGCTGCGCACTTGCGCCCAGGGCTTTGATGGCACTGTGATTGCACACAATCACAGTGATTGCACACAATCACTGTGATTGCACACAATCACAGTGTATGGAGCATATGGCCTGATAGGTTTCTGACTCCCTAATTAAAAGTGATTAGGGTCGGCTAGTTAAAAATTTTCGTTTCGTTTATAATCTCTTTCACCATACATCAATAGTAAATTAGTAGTAATCCTCTCAAATGGATATCGCCCGAGCTGGGCGTTAATGCGTTTTAGGCCCCCATATCTGCCGAAATCGTGTTCCAACAATCGATGCTGAAAAATCAACGGGAGACGGGCCATTTTCGCTGAGAGCTCGATATGGAGTGCTCGTCACACCTCTGGATTTATTGTGAGAAGGTCGAGCCGCGTCAAGCCTGCTGGCCTGGTTTTCACATTGCAAGATTGAACCTCTCTTCGTTTTCGTCGGCGACACCGCCGCAATCAGTGCCATGAAACCACGCGACATTGAAACGTCACACCCACTTTATGCTTGATCGAATTAATCGCAACTCCTGTCGGGCACCGCGATCGTAGGGTTCGCTTCGGTCAGCAACAGCTGCGTCCCTGACGGCAGCCGCGTGCCTCGCGTGATGCCACGTCTGCCACGGTGTATAAAGGTGGCCCTTGGTGTCTGCGTATTTTCGGAGCCATGGTTCGCAAGAAGCAGCTTGATCACACGAAAAAGCGGTCCCGCTGGAAGACGGACGCCGAGGAGTGTTCCAACTGGGACTCTGGCGCCAGTCAGACATTGGACGCGCTGCAGGCTACGGTCTTCGGGGCCACCTCCGATCGCTGCAAGACTGCGCACCTCAAGGAATTGGTGGGCACCCCGAACCTTCATTTCTGACGTGGTGTACGCACATTGAGCCCTTGCCACGGGGATGAGCATTTCCTGGTGGTAACACAAATCGTTTCCGATTCGATTTACGGTAGTCTCAGTATCTATAATTCCTGCCTTTGTATAGGGTGTCTTCACCGACGTAATTTCATCCATCATTTTGTTGTTATGAACAGTCTGGCGTGTGCAGAAGGCAAGCACCCCGACGATTCACATACCACCCTCAAATTGGTAGTAGGTAAAAGCTTATAAGTTTCATCACGCTGATATCTAACAACAAAATGACGGATTGGCGTCATGGGAAAACAGCTATACTTGAGTGAACTCTTCACTGGGCATGCTCAGAACGAGCTCAGACTTATAGGTTTCCAAGACCGGCAATCTTTCTGGTGTGGAATTCATGTTGCAAAAGCGCTGTGGAAGCTCGGCGTCAGCACGCTCTGAGCGGGTACGCACTCAGCTATGGCCGCCAGTGAATACCCCCTAGAAGTGGCACCGTCCTACAAACGGCTGTTTTCAGAAAAAAAGGTCGTATATAAGACGCACCTTTGTATAAGCCTCACGTACGCTATGTATTTGTACAGTGCGCGGCGAAACTGCATTGAAAAGGCCGCATATGAGTATTACGATCGCGATTTAGACGCGAGCGAGAGCAAGTTTTTAATATTCTCTTAAACGAATCGAACGAGAAATATAACCCACCCGACGAATTTTCGCATTTAAGGCACGTACTTATAGAAGAGAGGAATGCATATAACTCAAAACGTTGTTTAAGTCGCCCCGTTGGAAATCTTAGGGGAAAAACGCACACAAGAAATAAAGGTAATAGGTACCCAAGACGCGTGCAGGATTGATTTAGTGCTAACGACATTGACATTGCTATTTATTATCTTAATGGACTCCAAGTCGGCAGACTGAAGGGGACGGTGCAGCACACCAAAAAGCTCAAACCATTTTGTTAGTGTTCTTTTTCTTTTTTTTCCTTTGACCGCTATCAACTGTAATATTAACGGGTCGTATTTAAAACAAGCACGTTAAGAGACTTACTAATTTATTTAAGTGCATTTTTATGCGGTAGCATAGAACTGTACATTCGTTTGTGCTTAAATGATTTGCCCCGACGGTTTACTCTTTTTGTTTTTTTAAATATATCCCCAGTTTAAAAAAAAAAAAACACCTAGTAATCCGTTCATATGATCAGATGATAGTGCGAAATTTTCTGATGCGCTAAAGAAAACTAAAACTATAGAGTCGCGTCTCCAAATATTGGTAGCTGTAAAGGAAGCAATAAAAACGAAAATACGAAAAGATGAACACAGATGAGCGATCTGCAGTTCGCCTTTTAGAAATACATATTATAATTTTTTTTAAGCACACGGGGACAAAAGTCAAATTTGCGGGTTTTACGTGCCATACCAGCAAATGACATCTGGCATGTCCTAGTGAAGAACTGGGGATCACTTTGGACCACCTGGGGATCTTGCGACGTGCAACCGAAATCTCGGTTTCGCGGCGCCTTCTCTCCAATCAGCCTCTGTCAGATTGCGCGCTCGGCGGCTGGCATGCGAACCCGCCAACTGGGGATCCCCAGGCCGGCGCTCAGGCCTCGGAGCCACCGAGGCCGCTCATATAGTGAGCGGTAGTGTTGCTATTGCGTCAGGTGACTGGTGCCTGAAAAAGTTGCTCGTAGGAGAGCCTATGTGTACTTTAAATTTCTCTCTTACACGTTTTACGGGAGTGAATTGCAGTTTACGAACGAGTTAAAGTCTGAAAATATTAACCCCTGGAGATGGGGAACAAAGGAGACAACGGACAAACACAAATCGCCTTTGTCCCCATTGTTCCCCTTCTCCAAAGATTATCAACACTCCAAAAAAAGCCCGTGCGGCTACGTTCCCGCACAACACTTGCAGAGCCAATCACCGCAACTTATGGAGGCAGCTCAGCGAATGACGATGCCGAAATATATGTTGAGGCCAAAAAACGCAGTCTGGGTTGTGACATTAAGCAATGCAAAACGCCACGCTTGCATTGCTTAATGTCACAACTCAGACTGCGTTTTTTAATCTAAACATATGTTTCGGCATTCTCATTCGCTGAGCTGCCTCCATAAGTTGCGGTGATTGGCTCTCCGAGTGTTGTGCGGGGAAGTAGACGCACGGGCTTCTTTTAGCGTGAATGTCATTCTTGTCCAGCTCAGTTGCACCTTTGCATTAACTGCATTATGATCAGTGTTAAAACCTGCAGCCTTTCTTTCTGCGAATAAATAAATAAATAAATAAATAAAGACAGAGGGTCCAGCTAAAACTTGTTGAATATCATCATCCTAAAGCTGAAGTAAAAAAGCAAAAAAAAAAAATGAAATAAATGTACCGTATTTACTCGAGTAATAGCCGCGCTGTCTATGAAAAAATCCTGAGGGTTTGCTTTTCCGCGAAACACGCGGATTGCCAATCACCGCAATCGACAGCATGATTCCAGAGGTTTACAGGGCAGAGATAACGCCTTCGCGCGAAGATACCATCAGTGAAGATTGCATTTGGGTGGAGAATCGTGTTCTCGCTCTAGTTATTCACTAAGTTCAGTGGCGTAGCCAGGAGTTTATTTCGGGAGGGGTTCAACGGCATCCCCCCCCCCCCCCCCCCCTTAATGACGGAGGGTGCAGCTTGCCGACACGGACGCTCAGGCAAAGATTGGGAGGCGCTGTTAAGATAAAACGAACTGCATTGTTATATTTCAAAACGGAGCAGGCTTCATTTACAGGGATAAGGGCGGGGTGGCTCACAGTTCTACTGTCGTCGTAATTGCGGCCCACCAACTTTAAAAGCTTCCTCAGAACACACAACTCCCTCCGCTTTTCGAAGTAGCACTTCATTACCAACGCGTAAAAGCCAGGCAAAACACCAAAGATAGCTATACTTTCAAAAAAAAAAAAAAAATTAAACAGCAAACAAAATTTTTTTACAATTAAAATTGGAGCAACCGATCACGCACAAACACCAGGGGCTTATTTTTAGGGCGAAGGTAATTCTGAACAATCACAAAACCAGAACCTATTATCTATTAAATGTTTAACACATTCGTGCTACAGAACCAGATGCCGAAGGAAAGAGAGCGTTATCTTTTCTAGGCCGTTTTATCTTGCAGCGTGGTCCAAAGACAGCAGCAGCGTATCCTCAGGGTCATGAGAAGTCATCAGCCCGAACTCGTCGTTCCATCACTCGGAGAAAAGACATAACGCACCACAAAGAGACTGCACGCCGAACGTGGAAAGGAACTTGACTAGCCTTGCGCCTGTGCGTAGTGAGAATATGAAGGCTTGTGTCTTCAAGTTTCTGATGTTCCGTGCAACGAAGAGATTAAGCTAATAGTAATAAGGAATTGCATCGGATGCCACCTCGACATACAAAACAGAAGGCAAGACGAACTTCATCGCATCCGTGAGCGACGAGTTTCTCAAAGTGAGGGAAACTTCGCCAAAAATAGGGAAATTTTAGGCGTCCAATGCAAGAGGGAGAAACGTTAAGCGCCCGTCACGTCTGCGGTATACAGGCGGTCGCGCTCTGTCCGGAGGCCCTATTTCAGAACGTCCATCGTCTCCTCAAGATCCTAGCGGCTCAGCCCTTAACAACGGCGGAAGCTGAGCGCTCGTTCTCTTCACTACGACGGTTGAAAACATACCTGAGAGCGTCCACTTCGAGTGAGCGACTGCTCTGTCTATACTTCGTTTGAGCTTAATTCCAGACGCAGCCGATGCTACAGGCGTGAACATGTGGCCCTGAACAGTGCTTGCACTGCACGAGCGCGCGTGCGTGGCAGGGGCGCTGAAAGCCCGGAGCTCGCACTTGTAGCATCGGCTACGTCTGGACCGAAGCTGAAACCGAGTATAGCGTTTTTGAATGTTCACCGCGACATTGAAGTTCAAGCGGAGGACGTCCGGGATATTTTTTCCGTGGACGCAGGCGGCTTCATTTTAATGTGTAGGCGCTTGGCATAAATGAGATGATAAAGAGAACCTGTAAATTGCATTCTAATATAACTAGTCAGAGTTACCTTTTTATCCGCGGTAATTTCTAGTCGAAAGCACGTAACTCTGATCACAAAAGATGTGCGTTAGCGCAGCGCCACCCGTTGCTTACAGTGCGATTGTTTTTTTTTTACAATTCATTTATTATTCCTTACATCACTGAAATTGTTTTATGTTATCACTGTGTGTTCGTTTTATCATGTTCACATTGGGTTGATTGAACTGTGTATTTCAGTGAGGATAGCTTATTATACTTTGCGTTGAAATTGCCATCCTTCAGGCCATAAATGTTTCGAAATATTCGTTCTCTATATATCTGAGATCAAGTTCCGCATCCCATCGAATAAACATGAATTAAGCAATATTGTATATTTGATTAATTTGAGCTTTTTATACCCCGCAAACAATTTTTCCGTAAGCCGTTCGAGATGGTCCGTGCACCCCTGTTTCTCCTTGCCTCCTGCAAAACCGACCGCGTCTGCAGGGGAGCGAGCGGGCCCGGGGGCGGGGGGGGGGTAGCTTTGACATACGGGAGGAGTTTCGACCCCCAAAACCCCTCTGCCTACGCCACTGGCTATGTTATTTATGCGCAACGCGATGATTGGCTGTATATGTGTTCTGGGGGAAAGTAGACGCAAGGGCCTTGTTCATAAATAGTGCGGCTATTACTCGAGTAAATACGGTATCAATATTTTCACTCAAAGACGCTGCCTGCACTCCTCCCCCCCCCCCCCCCCCCCCACACACACACACACATTTTTGTTTTCATTCAAGAATTAATTGGCATCTAAATTCTACCTGAGATGGCGCGCAACTCGCGGCTCCTATAGGCCGCCGATGTTTTTTAGCGGCATACCAGTTGCAACCTGCGGGTTTCCTTGGACCTCAGGTGAAAGTAAATTTATTTATGGGGTATATTGTCTTCACCTTGGGGAGTTTTCCTAAACCAACCAAAGGAAATTTTTGTTTTATTTTGTCCCTTCTACTATTTTTCATCTTACAATTTATTTTTACTCCTGTCTCGGGTTAATTTGCATCGTGGTAAACTTCCACGCGCTCGCTGCACTCTAACTTCTCTTTTTTTTCTTTGCTGATTATGTCCACACACCTGCAATAAAACCTTCGTTGCGTTTCTGTTTGTTCTCAGTACAAACGGTCTCAATTGCTGGCTGCTGCGTTCTGTGGACACGGAGAAGCAGTCGACGTTTTACTTAAGGCGGGTCACGATCCGAATGTAACGGCTAGGGTAAGTATTATGAAATGTGACATCAAAACGTCGTAGAGTTTGTTACAGAGCTTAAAGTTTTGGAAGTCTGGGAACGAATTAAAAGCTTTTTCCTGGAAAGTGACTTACTTCGAGGCGCGCTAAAATCGCGATGCATCATGGTTGGCGTGATGCATCGCGCCAAACATGATGCATCATGTCATCTCCCTACTAAAAACGAAAAAAAAAAGAAAAAAAAGAAACGGGATTGTTTTACGACAAGGTAATAAAAATTGAAATCATTTACTAATACTGATAATTTCGCACCCGTATACCATAATTAGGGAGCTCGGGGTTATTATACAAAATGTTTTATTAGTAATATCAGTACACTCGAAAAAATACCTGCGAGTCTACTCACCCGCAAAACACTCGACGAGCCGTCTCTGCGACCAACGAAATCAGCTGAGCGAATGATGAGGCGGAACATCCGTTTAGACCTCAAAATGAAGTCTGCGCTGTGGCACTACGCAATGCAAAGCGTCATGCTTGCATTGCGTAATGCCACTGCGGGGACTTCATTTTGAGATCTAAACAGACGAATGTTTTGCGGGTAAGTAGACGAGCAGGCATTTTTTAGAGTGTATAGTCCCTTGTTTAGTGCGGCTGTTTTGGACGTACGTCAAAAGACATTGGGCAGGTCTCATATAAAATTAATTCCTGATAATGACATATTGCTTTGCGTTTCACATTTTAGAAGTTAAATATTACGCAACTGAGTTTTATTCTTTTGCAAGATAATGTCTGCAACAAGAGTAGTTACGTGGTGGGCAACACGACTCTTGCGAGATCAATGTGGCCGCTCCCTTTATAATATTACCCCATTCCTTTTTTACGTTGCTTTATTACACTATAATGTAGGGTCCTGTGCATCGGAAGAAAAATATGATATCACATAATGTTTCAAAAGTGCACAAAATAAATAAATTATTTCAAACAAAAAATGCCACAGCAATTTAATGTCGTACCTCGTATTTCCCATTACATTTGCACGTGATAAGGATGGCAGCACCCCTCTAATGCTGGCCATTAATCAAGGCCACCGAGACATTGCTTCCAAGCTGATTGAACAAGGAGCCGACTCGTGCCTCGTGAACCAGGTGGGTATATTTGTTTCCCCACCACTGTTAAGCCGTACATACATCTCTGCTGACATCTGCCATGGAGGAAATAACCCGATGGGGGACAATGATGGACGACAGTTTCCTTCCCTACAAGAGTCGCGGTCACAACCTTCATCTGTTGACTTGATAGGCTCCCCCAAAAAGATTTGGGTCATACTCTGCGTCGTCTGTCTTAGGTCTGCTTCTCTTTCGCGCTGAAACTATTCTAGTACGATCTCAAGAAGTACTATTCTCCCACGTTACAAGAGCTCAACTCCGCGGAGCGAATATGCGGCGTGGCGAACATCCGACTCAAATTTCGGCCACCGGGCTTTGCGCGCAGCGCAAGTCATCCCACGCCACGCGCAGATCGCGAACGTCGCTGGGTGAAATTCGTCGCTTTTCTTTTTTTTTTTTCCTCTGCGTGGAGTCCAGGTTTTAGTGTATCCCACCAAACGAATTCTTATACACCTACTGACGATTTTGCTGTTTACGAAAATCACCGTCCACACACGTCTCAAATCACACTCTGACCACCGGGCGAGAAGCTAACTAGGCGCGCGCAGAAAGGCACAGACGCAGCAGAAACGTTTGCACACAGCATTGCTAAACTCGGCTTCACTTTATGTTTGACTGCAGCCGACGCTTGTTTTCTTTGTGGGTTCGCTACCCCCGGCTAAACCAAAGACGCAGAAGAAAAGCGCAGGATCTCGCGTTGCATTCGCTGTGCGTGCTTCGTTTTGTCGGTGATCGCACGAAGGCGCTTCATTTCGTCGCTGCTTGACCATCGGGCCCTATAGCGTCAGCTGCGGTCGGCCGAAAGTGACACGGAGTATAAATTGAGTATGTGAGATTATGAAACCTGATTAGCCTTGGGCCGTGCAGAACACGATTGCTAATTTGTGTATGTGTTTGCCGACGCGATTAAATCACTGCAGGATGGCACGAGTGCCATGCACATGATGGTACGGAAGATGGACGCCGTCATGTTCAATGATTTGTGGAGCAGTCTTGAGAAATCTGGCCGAATCAACATCTCGGCAGTCGACAAGGTAATTTGGTTTGTCAAGAAACGGCTATATCCAAAGGTTCTCTCTCTCTCTCTCGTCCGCGTTGCAGCCTGATCATCGCTCGTAACGTTCACATTTACTCTCAAGCTTTTGTTCTCAGAGCGGCAGGCTACTTAGTTCAAGATGTTCTGGAAAGATACTTAGAGTTACATAAATGAGCGGAAAACAAAATGCATAATGATTTTGCAGCGAAAATATGGTCGTGTTCTACGAGCTTACACGCAACAATGACAGGCTTTTCATCGAGAGGCCGTGCCAGTTCTTGCTGTATACGCACGCGCGCTCACTACCAAAAATTTTCCGAAGTGGTGATTTCTGAAAATAAAACGTAGAGGAAGCACCTTTTGTCACAAAATATTATGCGAGCTAATTCTTGGGGTTTACTTCCTAAACCAGCGAGAAACGTTTGGCCTCCAGCGACGGACTGAGGATTAATTTAGACATCCGGGGTGCACTTGCTACGAGCGAACTGTGGCATAGTTTCAACTTAGATGCTTCCTAAGCCGAAGCACTAACACGAGAACACTTTTCGATTTTATTAAATTTTCGTTGACTTGTTTGAAGAATTCTTTCTTTCTCACTCTAAGAAAGAATTCCCACTTTGTAGACCAAGTTACTGCTAACGCAATGCCGCACGCTCTTTCGTTATTTAAAATAGAGAACCCGTAAAAGTACAAAACTGCATCGATGAAATTTGTCGAGTGATCTCAACGATGCGTCATCGATGTGTTGAAATTCACCAAATAACTGCTAGAAAAAAAATTAGCAGCATCACACTATTGCTATTTCGGAAGAACCGAAATTCTCTTCAAAACTGAACCGGGTGAAATTTGCATAAGAGCACAGAATCTTTCATCTTACAGACTCTCTCATCTGTGATCTTATCCGAGTTCGTTTCGCGCAAGCCAGTCATGGGAATCTTTGGCATGTAACCTAAATCCCAGTTACACGACACCCGCACAACAATGAGCCTCCATCAGACTATATACAGGGTGTTCCACGAAAAGTGGACAAATTCGATATTGCGAAAACTACGCGTCGCAACAAGAAAAGGCTTGTGTCATTTTGGTCCTGGACCAGAGGCTTATTTAGGAAAATTATTAAAGTGCACGAGTCCATGATAATTACACTGTTAATTATTTTTGCGTAATTAACTTTTCAATATTGTGTTTAAGTGCATGTACCCAATTACAAAATTGCTCAGCATCACCGAAAAACACTAAATCAACAAATTGCAGAACGATAGAAGGCACGCGCAGCATTTTATAGCTTTCTGAAAAACCGCACAAATTCGACGGGTTTTTAAGTTTCGGTTTGCAATCGGAGCGCATCTCGGCCCCGACGGCACAGCGCCCCGTGGCGAAATAATGCAACCAACCTCTGCTGCGCTGTCCTCGCGCAACGCGGCAGAGGCTGGTTGCACTATTTCTCCCCGGGGTACGGTGCCGTCGGGGCGGAGATGCGCTCCGATTGCAAACCGAAACTTAAAAACCCGTCGAATTCGTGTGGTTTTTCAGAAAGCCGTAAAATGCTTCGCGTGCCTTCTATCGTTCTGCAATTTCTTGATTTAGTATTTTTCGATGATGCTGAGCAATTTTTTAATCGAAACTATGCCCTTAAACACAATAATAAAGAAGTTAATTACGAAAAAATAATTAACAATCTTATTATTCCGGACGTTAATAATTTTGCTAAATAGGCCCCTGGCCCAGGACCAAAACGACACAATCCTTTTTCTTGTCGCGACGCGTAGCTTTCGCAGTATCAAATTTGTCCACCTTTCGTGAAACACCCTGGCAGCTCGGCCAAAATCTGATTTTTGGACCGTCACTTCCAATCGGCGACAACGAGGGGGGGGGGGGCTCTTTTATATATTGTGAAGCGTGCGTCGGAATGCACGTGGCACATTGCGGTATGCCATGCTCCGCTTCACATTAGGTTCAAACCGCAGCCAACGTTACAATATACGAGGGTTCCAATCAAGCAATGCCAAAAGTGAGTCGTCACGGCGTTCGTCGTCTTTGTGCGCTTGCTGTCACCAACTAAACCAATAAAAAACAAACGTCGGATCACGCCGCATTAAATGTGCGTGATTGACTTTTAGCCGGTGACAGAAAACGCACAAAGACGACGAACGCCGTGACGATAAACTTTTGGCGCAGCTTCATAGGCACCCTCCTATACTTGTATATAGTATAGCGTTGGCTGCGATCAGGCTTAACGTGAAACGGAATATAAATCTTAAAGTTTCTTTCGAAAAAAAAAAAAAAAGGTATGAAATAAAAAAGAAGGGGGAGTCGACCGGTGTGGGGAGGCAAAAAGCAGCAGTCGAGAATTCGCAAACTGTGTCGTCGCGCAACGTATACACATCTCGAAATGCCCGATCTTTTCCGAGCATATCTTTAACGCTGGTTCGCAAAATTTCGACTGCTTACGACTGAGTATGCTACAACCTCTTGCGACCTCTTGCACGACGCGAGAACACTCTGGCACGCTGGGGCCATCTGTGAGGTGGCTCTGGAACTGCATTTCAGTAGGGCACAGGTTTTGCGGTATTTGCGACATCAAGCATTATCCGAAAAATGGTCCTTTACAACATCGTCAAAAAGATTTTTTAAAGCCAATAATGGAAGAATAATGCGCGAAACAAAATATACGGGAATCGTAAGTATACCACCGCTACGCGATAGATGGCATCATTAGGGAGTTTTCGTAGACCGCGTTTGCCCCCCGCTAAGCCCTCCCCAACGAAGAAGTTGCTACTGCGCCTGCGCGCCGATAGCCTTGACTGTAGAGTTCCGGGTATCGTAGCGGGTTGCGGAGGGCGTTGCGGAATGGCGAAAACGGTCTACGAAAACTCCCTATTATGTTCTCGCGTCGTAAGGGAACACAGGAGGTTGCGACGCAGTCGGTCGTAAGCAGTCGCAAGTGTGGAAGCCAGCTTTAAAGAGTCGCTCAAGTGGATTCTGAGATCGTCGATTTATATATAGTGATGACTGAATCTAACGGGCTCTAAGCATCCTAAAAAAAGAACTCCCGAAATTACATTCATGTGTGGCCGAATTTCATATTAACGATTTAATCGAACATCCTGACGCGCCCCTTTTTCTGTGTCTTGGAGCAGACACCAGGGGGCGCCGTCGTTTGTCGTTTTCAAACAATAATTGCTGTATTACGTCTTCTACAACTAATTATTGGACGTATTTTGTCAGAGTATAATGCACAACGCGTCTAAGAATAACAATAACACTAACGTTCGGAATCTCTACGCAATTAACTATTTTCACTGGTCACATTGTTTGGGGGTGGTAGGGACCCGAGAAGGCCTCCCCCCCCCCCCCCCCCCCTCTCCCCCCTAAAGAAAATAGTGCCCGTGATTTTCTATTGCTGTGAGTCTACTATATGACGTATTGCCGTCTAGAACTGGTTACATTTATTGACTAAAGCCCAACATACAATATCCCATCAAAAGCAAGCTTCTGCAAAGAAAAAAAAAAGAAAAAAAAAAACACTGGAGTGCTTCTTAATGCCCCTGTTGATTTGTGTACCTTTCATTTCATATTTCAGAATGGTAAAAACATGCTCCACGCTGCAGCGGAACTCGGCTGGGACTTCTGTGTTGCGTTTCTCCTGTCTCGTTCTTCGCTAAACGTCGAGCAAACCAGCAAGGCAAATCGAAGTCCTATCTTTCTCAAAGAAATAAGAAGAGCCGCGTAGCATCCATTTATTTGTCCGGTCTATTTGAGGGACCGTGTGTGTCCTTCACGATGGCATCTAACGATCCGAAATTCGTGCTGACTTCATCGCCATTATGACACATATATCGACATCCTCACTATACGAGATTCATGGCAGAAACCTATGACAACGGAGTAAAAGTTTACAGTGGTGCGCCTTCGAACAGTCGTGTGCTTCACCAGATCTCCTCCGCCGACGCTAAAACCGCGGCGAAGCGTGACCTTTTCATTTTCAGCGTTCTCGAGAGAATTTTGTGCCGCACGCATATCACATGTACTGGGCGTTTCGGCGAAGGCGTTCAAAAATCCCTAAAGCTAGGGTTATCGAGAAAAAAATATAAACTTTTTACGGGAACAAACTGCCAGCCACGGCGGGTGTCAATGATTGCAAAAACAGACTAATTAGCTGGATATTTAAGAGAAATTTATTAATTATATTTATAATAATGAAAATAATTATAAGGCTCAAATGGGCATCTTGCTAAGCATCACAAAAACCACTGAAGCAACTCTTTTTAAAATTATATATCGCAAAAACAGCGTTTTACGGCACCCCCCCCCCCCCCCCCCCCCAAAAAAAAAAAAAAGAAAAAAAAAAGATTTTTACGCTTTTTCGGTTTTTTTGGTTTTTGTTCTTTTTATCGGAGCGCATATCTTTGCGCCAGCGGTACCGGTCCCTTGTGACCGAGGAGTGAAGTCCCCGATTCGTCACCCTTGACGGATGGAGGGAAATATAGCGCACATGTGTTCCGCGTCTCGACCAGTGGGGAGCAGGACCGCTGGCGCAAAGATGCGCTCCGATAGGAATTCCAAACCTATAAAAGCGTCAGAAATTAGCGTTTCTTCGGAACGCCTTAGAATGCTGCCCCTGCTTTATATATTTCTAAGGTGAGTTGATTTCGTGGTTTTCGATTATTCTTAGCAAGTTTTTCATTGAAACCACATGCTTAATTTTACTAATTAAAAATAGAATTAGTAAATTCTAGTTATATAGTTCGCTAATTAGTGTTTTTTTTTTTTTACAATTCCTGACGTGGCAGTTTGTGTCCGGAAGAGATTCTTATTTTTTTTCCTGAACCACTCTATTTGTAGTAATTGTTTTTTAAATCCATTGCTGAAACACTTTTTATATTGTAGCAACTAGTAAACAGGCTTAGTCAAAGGTGTGTGCAAGCTGAGTGCTTTCTAGAGCTCCAAAACTTAAAAAAAAAGTACAAAAAACAGTTGAAAATTGACAGAAATGTGCAGCTTTGCGATTATTAGGTTGTTACTAGTGAAAACGAACACATCTAAATCACACAAAGACTAAAATGCTTGCACAAAGTGACATGAAAAATGACAATTTGCTATAAAGCTTAGTAAGTTAAGCCGACCTCCAGCTGTTCATAAACTTATGCATACTTATATTGACACAGAGTTTAGCGATAGGAGAAACAGGGTTCATACGTACCGCACCGCACATGACGCCTGGTGTGCGCTGGTACACATAACAATATCACTTATAGGTTGATTGCTTTCAAGGAACGATCAGAGCCCTTGTCTTGCAAGATAACTCTGTACATCATTTGTTCTCAGGAAGGCAGAACCCCTTTGATGTGTGCTGCCGCTGAGGGCCAGACCGCAGTGGTGGAGCGCTTGCTCCAGGCAGGCGTACGCCTTCTAACTGAAGATCAGGTAAGCGAATGTAGCTTCAACGTGTTCAAATAATGGCAAGTAAGCTTTGCTGATCGACCCATTAGGCCGTCGGCATATACACCGAGCGATACAGTTACCATGAACATAATTGTTTTGTGTTTTACTCATTGAAAGTTCAGACCAACTCCAAGCTCCCACCGCGCCTAAGTTAATGCAGAATGGGCACATTCCATCGAACCTGAATCTTCGACAAAGGATTCAGTGGGCTGAACCTGAATTCCTCTAGTCAAAAGTATAATAGGCTCCGTGTTTTCGGTATATAACTATATACCGATACACTCCGAGAAGTAAAACCCGAAGTTAGTTCGATGAAAATGTAGAGAAAACTGAAAAACCTTTATTATAACTGTCCTTGTATAAAAAAAAAAAAGGCTTTGTGGCAAGAAAACAGCTTAATTTTTCATCGAGTCGGAACACAACCCCGCTGAACAGTCTGCGAGGCTGTATTTTCTTCCGAAACCCGGCATCTTATCTTTTCACTTTCAGATACGGGTACCGGGACGTTTTTCGAGCTATTCAGATCACGCACACGTTTTCTGAAATTTGGGGTATCCCATGCCCCCTATTGTGTTTTTGTTTAGTTTTTTTTTTTTATTACAGCGGGGGTTGTTAGAGATTTTGTTCGACAAAAATCAGTGTCGTACACGTTCCTCTAAAACGGGAACGAAAGCTCCTTCCCCGTTCCTTAACAATCTTGGAACGAGTCACCTTTACAAGTTCCAGCGGTTCTAAAGGAACGCGTTTCCGTTACGTTTTTGAGATTGGAACGTGTCATTGCATTAACCTTACATTTGCGTCTTTTAATGAAATATTGTGCTCGATAATCCGTAGATAAACTATTGCATGCAAGTGAATAAACATCCACATTGAACTACGTGTCGTAACGCCACGATCACATTTCTTGAAATAAGAATTACTCCGCAGGCGAGCTGTTAAACAATCATAGTGAAAAAACAAAGACCTTGAGGCTAGGGACAAAAAATCTGACAACACAATACGTACCCTGTTCTGTTGTCCCATTTTTGTCCCTAGTCTCAAGGATTTTTTTGTCACTATTCTTGTTCTCGTTTTTTTTTTTTTTTTTTTTTTACTATCTTTAGGATAATTTCCGATCCTTTAAAGTAGGAGTTTGAAACTGTTGATAATAGGCCTAAATGCCTATTAAATTCGGGTAAAATTGCATATATGTAAATTGACAAAAAAATATAAAAAAGGGGGACACCGTTCTTCCTGCCGTTTGCTCGAAAACGCATAGAGTTATTATAACGTACGCTAGAGGTTTAACTGGCGCTAGTGTCTATGCGACCTCCGGGATGCAAATCGAAGCAGGCGGCAACCAGTCGATATTTTGCGGTGTTCCCGTGCATTCTTATGAAAAACGGGTGCATTTTTTTTTTTTGTTATTTGTTATAACTTGTTATTTGGGTCGTACCGGATAGTATTTACATTTATTAACACTGTAAAGTGTATTGGCTTTGGTTACAGCTTTTTTATTCGTTAGTAAACGATGTTAAACTGCGCTATATTCTAGCCTCTAGGCCCAAGCCTGTGTTCCGCGCTGCCAGTGACGTACAGTACTGGGGGCCCTCTCGCTTTCGCGCTGCGGGTCAGTCCCAGACACGAAGCTTTGAGGCTCTCCGGCGCCGGCTGCGGCGCCCGAACACACGTGTGCTGGGCTGTACACGTCTGTTTATTCGTTCTTTTTTCTTCGGGCGCGTAAAAGCAGAAGTCCAAAGTCCACTCGTCGAACAGCGTTCACCCACACCTTCTTCAATTTCCGGTCCGTTGGAAACTTGTGAAAAAGCACCTCCGGGTTGCGCAGCGGGTTGTTTGAGCAGCCCACAGCGCTATAAGCTGCACTCGGCATCTTTCGAGGAACAGCTGGGCAGTCTTGAGCGCACCAAGTTGCTCGCTAAAACGAGTCTTGGAGTCCTTACAAGAGCAAATAAACAAAAGGCTATACAGAAGCTACACGGGCTACAGATAAAAGCAACGGCTAAACACGCCAATCACAAGCCGAAGTAGCGGTGGTAGCGGCTCAAAGAAGCGCACTCCGCGCAACGCCCGGACCGGAGGAAAAAAAGAGAACGATACTGACGTCACGGCCCAATGTTGCTTTAGCGATCGGCAACCCGCTGGCCGCCCGCTAAGGAGCAGCGGCTCGCGGCGGGTCGCATTTTTATTATCGGCATTAGTTGAGAATGCGGCGTCCCACGGACGTAATATTTTGGCTGGGGTCGTATTTTGTGTCACTACAGCGATACCAGAAATTTATTTCATTTTGAGTTTTGGCCGGAGTTTTGGCCGGCCGACCCACATAGAGCGTATTCTCGACGAATTTACGCGCGTTTGAGCGGGCGTAATCACGGGATTTGGCGAGCGTTTTTTTTTACAGAAGGGAGGAGGGGAAGGTCGCCAAACCACACACGACGCTTTTCGTCGACGTCTCCTCGGCGTTTGGTGCAGTGTAGCCCGACTCGCGCCTTTCATGAAAGGAGGCAAAATGTAGATAGGCTGCTATATTATTGCGTTCCGCGAGGAGACTGAAATAACTGAATGTTAATAAGCGGCCAAAGCCTAATTTGCTAACACCTGTTTCAAAAATGTTTGTTGCAAACGTCAAGTTGTTAAAAACTCCCCGCAGGAGGACTGCCGCGATCTCTGCTCAAAACCTCTCCTTTTGTAAATCTCTTCAAAACGCCCGCAATATCGATGTTATTTTCTTCTGTCTCAGTCGTTCATCGCTCGTTCCAAAGAGATATAGCAATTTGGTACAGTTCGCCTATAAACCGGCGAACGCGACAAGCGAGCTCCCATTTCACCGGCTGAGTCAAGCCAGCCAGCCGGACGAATCGCTAGGCAAGCCGATTCACGAGCAACTGGAGCTGATTGGCCGGCACCGCGCCGTACGCTTCCAGATAGGCAACGCCGAAATACGCCGAAGCGCCGAGATCTGTCTCGGTAGGATCGCCGAATACGCGTGTATTTACGCCGACCAAGGAAGCGCTCGTCCCGACGCCCGCTGTATGTCGGGATTACGCCCGTCAAAACACCCGTAAATACGCCGCAAATACGCCCTATGTGGTTCGGGCTTTAGGTGCCGGGGAAGGGAGCTGTCCGTACGATTCTTAGCAGTGCGCGCTTCACATGCAGCGATTTTGGATATGAAGCGGTGCGATTCCCGCCGCCGCGGCGCTCTGAGCAGCCGCAGCGGCAGAGCGGTGGCGGTTCCAGACGGTTGGAAACTTTTCGAGGCGGCAGGGAACCACGTGACAAGAAGAGAAGCATGGCGGGCTGCGCATAAGATGGCGATTTCTGCTTTTTTTTTAAATTTATTTATTTGTTTTCGTAGGCAGACGACGACCAACGAGCAGGGAAAATACGCAAGAGACTGATTTTCTGTCTTCTTTCTTCATTTCTATTAATGGATTCAGCTTTTTTGCTTCGGCGGTCGGGTCGGAACTGTTCGTAAAGTTGAGAAGGGAGATTGTTTTCCCTTCTGGCGAATATTTTGCGAGATATGTCTGAAATGTTCGGGCGTATCCTAGCTCGCGGCCGATTTCCATTGATTGTTTTCCATTGACTGCGATGAAGAACATCCTAACAGCCGTGGTTCGGCCATTATTTTTTTGCAGTCAGCATCGACTGCGGCATGCTTGGCAATCTCTAGGCGCCACGGGACGGCCGCTAATCTTTTATTAAATAAAATGGGCACCCTGGAAAAAAACCACTACGTCGAGGTAAGCATACCCCTGGCAGCTTGTCTTCCCAGCATACCAGTCGTTTTTGTTTAAGGTCGGCGTAGAATGCCGGATAAACCTCAATAGATGACGGTTGTTAGTGTCTAGGGCATTTAAGGGAGATTTTCAGTTTAAAAACAAGATACAGCATTAGTCGGTATTCTTTGATTAAAAGATATCGAAAATCCCCAGGCTTATTTGAATTCACGCTCCTTCGCGCGGACCAAGGTTGCTCAACTGATATATCTACAATAAAAACAATAGGGATTCTAAGATATATATTTTTGTTTCATATAAATCTGCTGACATTCTTCAACGTTTTATTAACTTTAAAAAAAATAAAACCGAGGCGTCGTCTTTTTTTTTCATGACAGTTTTATTTCCTGAAATAGGAAGTCGGAATATACAGTTATCCTTATTTATTTATGTGCGGGAATTTTCAAAGTACGCCAGATAGCTGATGATAATTCCTCACTAATTTCTTTCGCGTTAAACGAACGTTGAAGTATGCCACAAAATGTTGAGCTGAACGTATTAATCGAGATAAGGTAGTGGTAAGTGTCCCTATGGTTGTCCAACGTGCTCACGTTGTTCTCGCAGAGGAGGGTATCTCTATTGGCTCCGCCGAGCACGCCAACGCGCGATCAGCGCTCTTTCTTCCGAGACACCTTGTTCAGGGTTTTTCTCTCCATCCGACGCCAAATGGAAGGCGGCACAGAGCTCCTGCTGTGTCACAACGTCTTCGAGGCCCTGATCGCCTGCGGTCGGCGCCACGCGTGTGATCCGTCCATTACGAGCCCCCTTTTCCACCTGTGCGCCTGTCTACTGCACGACAAGGCGGATTACAGCAAGTACGTCCACTACGACATGGCGAAGGCGTTCATCGAAGCCGGCGGATTAGATCTGACACACGAGGTTTCCTATAAAGTCGGCGATCCGTGCGATGTTCTGTGCCGATGCTCGGTGCTGCTCCCAGTATTGCCTGCGGCCGAGTTGGAAGATGGACTGCAATGGGTCCGCAGTCACTTGGAAGACCTGCTTCCTACATTTCGCGAGTTCGCTTACAAGAAGGACATAATCACGTATTGGGCAGACGGCGAGCAGGTGAAGACATCCGTCATGTGGGAGAGGTTCAAGGAGAACTTCTCCCGAATTTATTTGGAGGCCAAAGGCTCGCCGCCAGACTGCGTACACGAACCTGCGCATGGCCAGGATTTCGACACGAACACGGCATTCTCGCTTCACTCCGTCGCGCAGACCACCCTAAGCAGGGGCAAGGGCCCAGCGCTCCTTCCTAAAAAGTCGGGCCAGAAGGCACAGAACAAAAAGATTGCACGTCCCCGTGCTATTCAGACAATGATTCAGGTTACGTTCACGGAGGAGTCTCGGTTTCCCAAGAAAGCAAGAGGAACATTAACCTATCCACAAAAACCGATCGATGTCAGGGCAGGCTCAACAGAGCCGGCGAATGTATTTGAAGCGATGTCGATGGCGCCCAAAGTGACTCCAACCGTCCTTCCTCTCCAAGGATATGCAAATGCTGTTAAGAGCAACATTCCTAACGAAGTGACTTCCCTTCATTCTCCGGAGGTAACGGTAAGAATATTATCGTTCCTTTATTTTTATCGTATTCGAATAAGCGTTCATGCTTTGACACTTTAGGCGCTGACGGCTGTAGAAAGGCAGGGCACGGCGTGTCCCGGATAATCCTCTTATTGCACCGCAGCCAATCATAATGTAGAATTAGCTGATAACAAGGTCGAAGAACCAATCACAAATTAAGAAACCATATCATGATACGCCACGCCCCGCCTTTGTTATGCTGTCAGTGACCATGTTCGGGCAAACCGCAAGCGGTACGAATTTTGTGCGTTCATTTTTTCTTTTAGGGAGACTGTGACCAGCCGAAGTACAAGTTCACCGACCTGAAAACTCCGTATCCCTGGAAGGAGACTGACATCAGTCTCCTGGGCTGTCAGAAGTTTGCTGGCTGTTCCTCGCAACCCACTTTGCCGCATGCTTTCAGCGGTGGCTTTGCAATTCGACATACGAAGAGCGATCCTGAGTTGAGCTCCACAGGCCCGAACTCATCTTTTCCGGCAACCATCGAGCTTTTCAAGGAGCTTCCACCCTTGAAAACAAGTAATGCGCCTGACTCTTCTCTTCCAGCTGGCGAGATTCACACCAAGCTGACTGATGTGAGGCAAACTTCCTTCCTGACCGCAACCAAGGATGAACCACTCGGGAGAAGCATCCTAACTGAGCGACTTACTGAGAGTTCAAACCCTCGCCAGTCCACAGATGATGTCGCTGCCTCAAGGAGCGCCGTCGAACAAAGGGCCCAAGAATGTTTATCCTCTTACGACCAATGTAAGCGGAAGCTTCCCTGCCAGCGACTGCACGCATTGCAAGAACACCTCTTCGGCGAAATCATACGGTCTCTACAAATGACAAAGGCGGAAGACCGAGACGCTATGACCACCGTAATGACACTCATGGAGTCGATGATGAATTCCATAAATACGTTGACGCCCAGACACTCTAAAGGCAAAAGCGACTTTCGTCTGCATGAGCTCTTGTTGCGCACTGACGATGAAAAAGACTTCGCAGTTGTCAGCGATCAACAAGAGGGGAGGAAAAGGCCGTTAATCGAAACTAACATGGACTGCTATTTGGCTGGAGAATGGTTTGAGGGCCTGGCCTCGACCGCTGAGAGGACTGTGGTTCAAGAAGACCCGACTAGTTTGTCAAGCGTCTGGGTGTCTGAGAATCTGCGTTGGGAAAGCACTTTTCGGGAGCTCGCCCACGCTCCCCTGTGCAGTCTTACCCTCACCAATGGCGTCTTCTACAACGAGGAAAAGAAACATATCCCTACAATGTCTCGGTGAGCGTTCTTTGTTTATAATCTCGCAGGCTGAACAAACTGTAGCAACTCGTTCAGCACATAAGCTATTAAACACCTTAAAAGGTAAGGAGCGTTAGAGTATAGTGTGCGTCCTTTGATAACGAAGCTGCTGTTGAACCAGTGCGCGACTTTTAGCTCATTAAAGGGGCCCTGCAATCATAATTAAGCGTCTACCTTTTTTGCGGTTTCCACGTCTCTTGGGGTTCGGGCAAGCCAGCGGGCACGGAGAGAGTAACTAAATATCAGTGAGTCATATTTTAACCGGACGACGCGGAAACCTCCTTCACCTACGGAGGCGACCCCCGTTGCCGAAAGCGCGCAATATGTGACGTTTTTGGTCTTAAGCATACTACTGGTCAGAGCAGCGAAGAGCTTTTTTTTAGTCGAGATACAAAATATAAGTGTCGCGAATCGTTTCAATTATGTATGAAAGTAGTTTTTGTTCAGTATTTTAGATCAGAAAAGAAGCAAAAACAGTTTATGAAGTACGGAAACAAGAAAAAAAACCGTCGACAAACCCTCCACCAAGCGGCGGAAAAAGCGGCGCATATAAAGGCCCGTTCAAAAACATGCGTCCGTAGCGACCGGAACGACCGGAACAACCGAAACGACGGTTGCGAGGGTCTGCAACCGTCAGTTGCCATAGCGACGGAGGGACGCACGCACGTGTCGTTCACGACGCAAGGAGTTGGAGCGAGCCCAACTTTCCCCGCTGCGTTCGAAACAACCGAAACGACCGCAACGACAGACCAATCACACGTCGAAGAGAATGGGTCGCGGGCGTTGCACGCCGGTCGCGGGCCGGCTCCTTCTATTTGCAAACATGGCGTCGGTTGTGATCGTCGACGTGGACGGCGTGGTGAAGGCTCATCGTTCCGCATAAAAGCGCTATCCTTGACTGAGAATTTTCGTCGTGTGTCGCTAGATAACCCAGCACGTACTAGAAGGGAAGATCCACCTACTCGTGCGGCGATGTCGTGGCGGCACTCTCAAGACAGCAGAAACGCCCATGCCGTCGTGTTTGTTTACTTTGACTACAGTGGTGCTTTCTTAGCATTTGTGTCCTCGAACATCGCTCGGATTTCTTATTTGGCGCATTTCATGCGTGTGCTCAAGTTCAAGATATTACTGGCGCGTACTGTATAAAGGATGCGAATTTCCACGCGTTTTCATCACCGGAGAAAAGTGATTAGTGTTAGCAATCCTGAACGCTCGCAACGTCTATCTGATTACCAAATCATATTTCTACGTTGCTATATCGCTAATAAGATTACATCGTCTTTTATAATCGTAGAAAAGGCGTGTGGCGACATCTGTACTATCGGCAAAGTCGTGTATCAGAGCCGTGATCGTCCAAGACGGCGTACTCCATCCTTCTCTTTTGTTTTTTTCATCCACTGTATCCTGCAAGCTTATCATGAAAAAAAAATATTAATAATAAAGCTTTAGGCTATAGAAAACTGTCTGTCTGTATATTCTGTTACGGCATTGAGTGGCAGTGCGTCCCCTTTTTAGAGGCACCGCTGAAACAGCTGACGGCGGCGTAGAAGCGGTCGCCGTGCTGCCGATCCGCTGCGCTTGTTGCAGCGGTTGCATGTGTGTGTACGCGCGGCGCTGAGCGGTCGTTCCGGTCGCTCCGGTTGCAACGGACGCATCGCGCTCGTTGTACATGTCTGAACCAGCCTTTAGAAAGGGCTAGTGGGATGAGGTGCCAACGAACGGCAAGCGTAGAAAGGTCCCGGATGTACGCGGCGGCGCTGCGGTCGTATACCGGCTCGAGGATCCGACCGGTTCCAGGCGTTCCGAAGGCTTTCGGCGCTCGCTTGGCTGGCGATTTGGCCATTTGGCGGTATGGCAGCGCGAAGTGGCTCCCGTTCTGAATTGGTCTTTACCCCCTGTTTGCTGCCGTTTGTGGCCAATGAAATGTTATGCCGAATTAGTCTTTAATCGCGCAGCAAAAGCAATGCTAGCCGCCCTGGCCGCCCGCTTCATACAGCCTATCCAACACGGCTTTAGTGGCGCCCTCTCGAGCCGTCGACGGCAGCCGTGACCGCTCGATGATCTCACTACTCCTCCTCTAGTTCACGGCCACTAAAACGAGAACCTACGACGTCATGAAGGAGGTTATGTTTTGCTTGTTTTTTGTAATTCTAATTTGCCTATAACTTTTAAAATAAAGCGAAATTTGAGAAAAGAAAAGTTTCTTTAAGTTACTACGTTCAGTGCGCTCAGGTTTAGTGCAAATTAAAAACCAGTCAAAAGTTGTTGCAGGGTCTTTTTAAGTACGTTGGCGTAACCAGAGCTAGTGTGCAGCTTACGTAGACTCTAAAAAATGCCTGCGCGTCTACGTACCCGCAAACCACTTGACGAGCCCACCTCTGTGATTTACGAAATCAGCTCAGTGAAGTATGAGCCGGAACATCGCTTTAGACCTCAAAACTAAAGGCCCGTTCACACTCTTGCAACCGAGAACGACCGAGAGAGACGAGACTTGTTGAAACCTCTTAAAATTTCTTAGGACGAGGGAACACACTGGCGTTTTGGCGCCATCTATGCGGTGACCCTGGAACTGCATTTTACAAGAGCGAAGGTTTTGCGAGATTTCCGAGGTCAAATGTGCGTAATACCTATGAGAAAGGCCCGTTTATAACGTTGACAAAAGTTTTTCGAGCCAAGAAAGTAAGAATAATGCGCGAGAGAAATAGAAAATATGCTGGACCGCCAAGTTTACACTGCTACCCAATAGATGGCGCCAGTGTGTCCTCTCGTTGTAAGAGGTTTCAGGGAACCCAGTTTTAAGAGGTCGCAAGAGTGTGAACGGGCCTTAAGCCCGCGCTGTGGCATTCCGCAATGCAAGCATGACGCTTTGCATTGCGTAATGCCACAGCGCAGACTTAATTTTGAGGTCTAAACGGACGTTCCGCCTCATCATTCGCTGAGCTGATTTCGTAGATCACAGAGATTGGTTCTTTGAGTGTTTTGCGGGTAAGTAGACGCGCATGATTTCTTAAAGCGTACTTCTGAAAGTAGAGTAATCATACACGCTAAAAAAAATGTCCATGCGTCTACTTTCCCGCACAACACTCGAAGAGCCAATCACCGCAACTTACGGAGTCAGCTCAAGCGAATGACAATGCCGAAACAGATGTTAAAACCAAAAAAACGCAGTCCAAGTTCTGACATTAAGCAATGCAAGCGTGACGTTTTGCATTGCTTAATGTCACAACTGAGACTGCGTTTTTTTTTTTTTGTTTTTTTTTTTTGTCTAAACACATGTTTCGGCATCGTCATTCCCTGAGCTGCCTCCGTGAGTCGCTTTGATTTGCTTTCCGAGTGTTGTGTGGGAAAAAAGACGCACGAGCTTTTTTTAGGGTGATAGAGGCCGGCCAAAAAGAAAACCGCTGCCATATATAGTTCCTCATTTACCACACTTGACATCTGGAGCCCTAAACTCGTCAAACACAAAGTTGGAGCCAAAAGATCGCGGAGCGCGTCGATTGGACGTCGGCGACAAAAGCGCAAAGTCATCGGCAGTCCCCCCCCCCCCCCCCCCCCCCCCCCCCTTCCCCCCAATCGGTGCGCTCCATTAACTTCGGCCCGAATTTAGTGTTTGATGACTTTAGAGGCCCTGAGTTCAGTTGATATTTGAGATGATTGTATAAACAAAGAGAGGGTTGTCCGAAGTAATGTTTCCTTGGAGTACCATGAAACGCAATGTCAATAAACTGAGTGTTTCCAGATTGGTTTATAAGTTAATCGCAAAAAAATCGTAAATCCTGGGACGAAAAAAACTACAACGAAAAAGACCAAAACGAGCAGGACGAGGAATGAAACGTGCAGCTCTATGAATGTTGGTGCCCTTTCACTACCCGTTCCACCTCCAACGCGCTCTTCAATTCGTTAAGTCTGGATAACAACAACTGTTCTAAAAGGAACTTTAGTAACGTTGCTTTTATCTTTTATTTGTACTCAAACTATATTTAAGGTATTTCGACTTAATTTCAATGTGATACAGTTATGTGTACGCGAGGAGCGGGTCCTTCACGCGCTCTGACGTGAACATTTTGCGTAAACACCACTCATGTGGTGTCAAGTCTTTACGATATTTTCTGTGAGTATGATATAATTTATGCGACGCCGACTGGTCAAAATTAACAAAGAGAGTATAGTTCTCAGGTATTTACAGTAAGCTTTAGTTTTATTCTGGTATAGTAAATGTTCCCACATTGCCTAACAGTCGTACCAGGGCCCCAACTTATCCGTTGCCCAAAACAACTGTCCTCCAGAGACGATGGCACAACCTCGGTGTACCTGGGCATCGCCGAAAACGGCCGGGAAGTAATCCTGAAAAAAATACAGCTCCAGTCGCCGATCTCGGAAGTTATGCTTGAACGCCTGCGTAGTTTCAAGCACTGTGACCTTGCCCACAGAAACATCAACGGCCTACAGGTGCGTAAAGTCGCTGAATGACAATATTCCGGGTTTGCGTTTTCTTGAGTTTTACTGCAGCACAAACCAGAGCTACATTGTATGAAATGACCGCGTGTCTACTTCTTTTTGGAACGCGTACCATTGCATTCAGTGGAAGGGACCAAGCAAAGGACAAGGCCTAAAAAGTATTTAAAATATGTCCGCCCTCCCACTAACAGCGAATTCGGGCGGTCAATCGTCGGCAACTTAGTTTGCCGGAAAACCAGCTATAGTGCTCGCGTGGACACTTTCCGACCGGCGAGCACCGTTCGAATAGTGGTTCTCCGGCTCGCACCGGCAACTTTCCGGCGCTTTTCCCTCCCCGAGCTTCGAACGGCCGGGCGAACGGGTGCCAGACTGTATCCGGTGTCGTCATCTCCGAAAAACTAATCTGAAGTCACTTCAGCGATCAATACTCGAGTCAATCCAAGCCGTTGGGACAATACCACAAGGAAAATGGAGGACATAGGTGACGGCAGCGACTGTCGAACACCTATCACTAGCGGTGTCTTGCGGGTCAGTGGTGAAGTACACTTCCACCGTCTGGCGTCTCATGTTCGGGTGCTGAGGGTCACCTGGTGTGCAGCCGGCGCGTTTCTGGTTGTCGGTGCCGCCGGCTCAATCTCGCCGGCGATTGACCACCGGAATTCGCCATGAGCATGCCTCCGGCAGGCAGAACACTCGCGGCACTTTAATTCGAATCAGTTTTCTCAGATACAACTGGTCCTGGCCTCCTCGAGTCCAGGAATATAGCGTACATTTAAGGTTCCGGGCTCTCGGATATAACAAAACAGGAAATAACGGAAGAACACGGGCCGGTAAAATTTTCGACAGAACAGCATTGTCAATCGAGAATAACATGAACGGTGGAAAGAAATGGAACACCTCGCATTAGTATAAAGACCCTGGTCAGCGGTCCTAATAAAAGCCCGATGAGAGGTCATGGGTATTTTTTTTTTCTTCTAAGTTTTGACGATTAACAAAGGGTATTTATTCTCAGCGTAAGTTCAGGACAAGGATCCAGTGTTGCTGCATATCTGAGTCATGACTGTAACCAATCAAGGCTCTTATCTCCACTGTTCCTGCGTTGTGCCACGGCGCAGACCGTTTTCTTGAAGTCTAAACATATTACCAGCCCCATCATTGTCCGAAGTCCCTCAGTAGATTGCAGCGATTGGCTCCCCCGAGTGCCTTGCGGGACAGCAGACGCTCCAGGTTTCTCAGGGTGCATATACCGTATTTACTCGAGTAACAGCCGCACTGTTTATGAAGAAAACCTGAGGGTTCGCTTTCCCGCGGAGCATGCGGCTTGCCGATCACCGTGATCGGCAGCATGATTCCAGCGGTTTACAGGACAGAGATAACGTGTTCGAGCGAAGATACCATCTGTGAAGATTGCATTTGTATGGAGAATCGTGTTCTCGATGTAGTTATTCGCGATCTTATTGTTGCGCAACGCGATGATTGGCTGTATATCTGCTCTGCGGTGAAGCAGACGCAAGGGCCTTGTTCTTAAATAGTGCGACTATTACTCGTGCAAATACGGTACCATTTGGGCTGCTCACTGGTAGCAGATGGAGACGGTGTTTTTAAAACCTTGGATTCAGTAATCCGCGGATCTCGTGCGAATGTTACGCAAAATTAAAACGGCCTTTTGTGACCTTTGGTGCGTTTATTTCTGAACATCCCTTTTATTATTCCTGCGTTCAGAAAATTGAGACTAAAAAATTGGACCCCGATAAACGCAGAATTTCTTGGAATCGGGACCATTGCAGATGCTGACTTGGATATACAATAAACTCCGGGGAAAATAATGCTCCGAAGTGTAACAAACGTGAACTCCAAAAAACTCGTAACCTTACACAAGTATTTTTTTTTTTATAGTAGACCGATTCATCGATCTTTTTTTTTTTTTTAGCTACAGCTGTGATTACCGGTTTCATGGTGGCATCAATGAAATAGAAAGCGCAGTGTCGTTTTGTTGTATAAAAAAAATATCACAGGTAAAAAGTCAACGACAGTTCAGAGATGAGTGTGCAGATTCGCTAGATGTTGAAAGCAACTGAAACATCGTGTGCAAACTTTAAAGAAACTGGCAGTGTCGGCGACTGGCACAGAACTGCCGTATTTACTCGAGTAATAGCCGCATTATTTATGAACAAGGCCCTTGCGTGTACTTTCCCACAGAACACATATACAGCCAATCATTGCGTTGCGCAGAAATAACATAGCGAATAACCAGATCGAAAACACGATTCTCCATACAAATGCAATCTATACAGATGGTATCTTCGAACGAAAACGTTATCTCTGTCCTGTAAACAGCTGAGCTCATGCTGTCGATCGTGGTGATTGGTAATCTGCGTGCTCCGCGGAAAACCGAACACAGGTTTTCTTCATAAACAGTGTAATATTACTCGAGTAAATATGGTAGTAGGCCTATACTCGTTTTCACCTCAAGAAGAAAGAAAAAGGAAGTTTTGCGTATTGTTCATACACCGCGCGAATTAGTTCTTATAAGATCTGACCGTCGCAGTAAGAAGCGATGATTTTGGCGTTTGAAACGTGTATGTCTTGATAAGATAACACATATCTAATCTACAATGCACCTACATATATCTTAATTCCCCTCATAAACAGGGAAATTAGTAAGGCTCCGCGAGGAGCCGGACTTTTATTTCACTGCGGCTCTTGAGGGGAAAACGAGTATAGTGTGAATGGAGAGACTGCTTGACGCCGTGCTAACCGATTTTCAAGGCTGTCCTCAGAAGTCAACTCGTCATATTCATGACGTATGAAATGAGTATGGATCTCACCCCTACTTATTTCTCAAGTGTCGTTGAACTGTAACCGGCGATAAACTTTCGTGGTACCACAAAATACACTGAGCTTTCTTCTTCATCGATGCGCAACTCCACAACTTCCGTGTTTCTATTTGTCATGGGTTTCAAGATACGATATTTTTTATCAGGGAAAGAATGTGCGCTTTGCTCACCTGGAACATTATATATATATGTGTATATATATATATATATATATATATATATATATATATATATATATATATATATATATATATATATATATATATATATAATTTAATTCTGAATATTAGCATTAGGCGAGCTTTGATATAACGAAAGCAGTGATCCCCGCCCAGCAAGCAAGCAGCGATTCGTCCATCGACTTGTCATTCTTAAAAGTACGAACACCGCAATGACACGGACCGAGTAAAATAAGACTGACATACAACAACGCTGCGTGTAATCTTACTCTTTCCGAGTCTTTGCTCCGTTAATTTTAAGAATGAACTACCAACTATGATCGTCAACGCTACTCGACTTCTCAGTTCGTGGATAAGTTATGGATCTCAAGGTATGAAGTTTCAGGGCGTTTCAAGCATAAACTCGGTCTTCCAGGTACTCTGGGAGAATTCCGGAAAGGTGCTGAATATGATCTGGCAGCCGCAAGAGCGAAATCTGGAAGAGCACATCGCTATGCTCCGGGAACTAAAGTGTTCGCTGGTCCAGTGGGCCAGAATTGCAATGCCTCAGCTGCTGGACGCACTCTCCTTTCTGCATTCGAGGACACATCCCGTGCTGCACGGTCGGCTCAAGGTCCGTTACTCTCAGGGGGCACTCTTCCAAGGGGCGGGAAAATAACGTTTTCAATACAACTTTAATTAACGCAAAAGCGCCAGCATTAATCAGTTTGTGCGCCTTGTCCGCCTTCGTGCCCAAGAAACGCAAGTTCCGTAAGGTTTCTTGTGTTTGGATCAAAGAGGAGACTTTCCATGTTTCTGACTTCTAACATATTTGTTCACAGAATATATACTCGTTTTTTACTTAAATCTTCCGAAGTTGATTTTAACACCCTCCAGCGAGTGGGTGGAGAGTAAAGTGAGGTAGGAATAATAACTAGTATTTAATACATCGTGTTTAATAATTTGGGACCGAAATGACCTTATATATATTAAAAAAGACTTCCGGTATTTTTTTTAATTGTTAATTAGACCTTTCAAACCAACAGCGCAAAGACGCGACGAAAAGAAGCAGTATTCCCACCAAGCGCTGCTCAGTTGTCTTTGCACGGTGGCGTGACTCAGAAAAAAATAATAAAAATTAGCAAACCAATATGCAATTGCAATAGTTACGGTAAACTTTTATTTGTATCAAAAACGTATGCAAAACTAATTTTGAAAGAGTAAAATACGTTCAAAGCCGTCTTGTTTGCTAAAAGCTTACTATCAAACAAATGCGTGATAAAGATTTAGTAAGCGGAAACTACTTAATGTAAGTATAATTTATTTCCATACACTGTTTTTCGCGTTTTGTACCGCGCCTTTTCAAAGAGGCAGTGCAGCCGATATTATGTTGGAATTTTTTTCACTTTACACGAACTTACTGACACTATATGGGACCCAAGTATACCCTCACGCAACGCCACTGACTGAGAACCTTTTTTGTTGCGGTGTATTTTCAAGGATAAAAGCGAGCGTTCTGCTTTGCAAAACTTGACGTATCTCCGAGGTCGCAGATCTAGCGTAGTCCCTCAAGTAACAAAAACGTCAAATGTTTTTTGTTTTTTTTGGAGGGGGGGGGGGGGGGGGGGAGGGGAGCAAAAGAAAAAGAACAGTCGTCATAGTTGTTAATATTATCATCATCATCGGCGCGAAGACTCGAAATCATTGCAGAATGCACAAATAGCAGACGAGAGGACTGGTGAGGTCAAAGCAAAAAACAGTGGAGATGCACCACCTAGTTAGTTCTGACTGGAGCAGAGCACTGATCTCTACTATAGGGGGCTGGATGGCGCTTAGCTGCTCTCCGAGCAAGGAGGTTATAAGTACTAGGAGGGGGCACATTGCAATATTGGTGAAGCCTAGCCATAAAAAGTTTAAACGATTTTGTGCCCAGCGTGACCGCAGATCTCTCTGGCGATTAGTGCGCGTGACATGTCACGTGCGAGATGGGTGGTTGATTGTAGGAGGATTCCTTGCAGGCTTACGCGCGCTCCGTCCGGTAGGTTTTATCAGATCGAAGGCTAGACTGTGGTGTATTCTAGTACCCCATAGCTAGACGAAGGCTAGCTACGGTCACGTGACGTGGTCACGTTGGCTTGATAAGTGAGATGAGCAAGGAGAAAAATGAGAAAGAGGTGAGGCGTCAAGGAAGCATGGCTTGTGGCGGCTACGCGGCCGACGTCATGCCCTCTCCTACCCTTCTATCCTCCTTGTCTCCGAGCCTGGTGCAAGTGAAGCCACCGGAAGTTCGATGCTTGTCCCGGAAGTCGGGCGTGCGCTGGGCTTCCTAGTGCATTCAGTTGGTATTTTGGACCACGCTTTTTTGTGTCCTTGATTGTGTTTTAATACTCTCGTTCTGAATTAAATCCCGAGAATGAGGCATTTGAACTTGGGACATATTCACACTTGATCAACTAGAATCTCAAAATGTTTACAATGAATGGCTTCCCATGATACTTCTCGGGTCCGCATGGGCTCTTACTGCGCAACAAGCAGGCTTTCTTGAGGGAACAAGCGAAAATCCAGCGCCCTCGACGCTTTTCGAATTAGCACTCGGAAGGGTTACAAAGCCTGCCAAGCGCTCACTTCCGGGACAAGCATCTCACTACCGGTGGCTTCATACCTGCTTGCTCAATGCGCCATCCAGCCCCCTCTAGTGGAGATCAGTGGAGCAGAGCATGAACTCTGTTCATCCAATGCAAAGGAATGGCCAACACGATCCAATCCAATCCAATTAATCCCTTATTTTCTAAGGGGTTCGTATGGGAGACAAGGAGGAAGTGGTACGCCTACGTTACTAATATCCAAAAAGCAATTAACACGGCTACATAAACGCGGGCTTAAGCTATACTACAAGTTATGTGAGCAGAGTGGAAGGTGGGAGCGGCTGCGGAATATAATTAAAAAAATAGTGCCAGGATAGTGTTTTCTGTGCGCGTCGACTTTTCATCAAATATTGCAGATATTCTGTGGTATATATTCATGCCTATTTAATACAATGCCTTTGACATCCAGGCTTTGGCTGCAGCTGCTCGAGGTCTGTGTACTGGTACGTGTGTTGCACGATTGTAAAACAGGATCTATGCATCTGCAACCGAAACAGAGTGACATCATGTATGCATTGATATGGGGGAACGTCAGAGAGGAACCTGTCAGTGAAAGTAGGCAACCTATGTGAAAGCTTTTTTTATTAATTCAAAGAAATATAAAATGCCAAAAGATATAAATTCTTCAGTTTCACATCGTATAACAGTTCAATTCTGTACAGACGGAAGAAAGGTAGAATCAAAAAGTATAGAGAGAATTTAAGAAAAAAAGTAAGCAAGATTTTCAGAAAACGAAACACAGAATGTCGACACAGTGAAATAGGCTTTATACCGGGTGTTTCAGCGAAGACTGACCAAAAAGTCCTAAAATTAGTGTATTCGAGGTAAACAGATCATTTTCTCGTGACCGCCTTACTCGTGTTGGTGGACGTCAGAGAATGTTGTCCCTCTTGTTTAATTGGAATTATGTTGAATTTATTTTTTATTGTATTGGAATGCAAAGGTGCAAGCGAGGTGGACACGATTGACAATGATAATCCCTGGAGAAGGGGATTCTCCAGGGATTATTATTGCCATTCTTGTCTACCTCGCTTGCACCCTTGCATTTAATTGCATTATTATCATAACCTTAAATGGCAAGTCTTTCACCCTTGTTGGTGTTAGGCAGGTGGCAGCTGATAAAAACTGTCTGCTCTACTGACGTCTAACCAGTCGTTAGCTCAGTTGGTAGAGCGCTCCACTGGAAATGCACGGACCTGGCGGATTTTTTCGGTAGCGCACCAGTCACCTAGCTGTGTTTGGAGATTTGTGTTTGTCCTGTGTCCCTCTTGTTCCCCTTCTCCAAGAATTATTTTCGTCATTCTTGTCCAGCTCGCTTGCACCTTTGCATTTAATTGCATTATTATCACTTACCCCTTAGTTCGCAAATTAAAGGAAAATGGCTAATTAGCTTTTAATTAGTGAAAATAGACATATGGTTCCAATTAGAAACTTGCTGAACGTCATCGAAAACCACTAAAGTTACCACGAGTGGTAACTTTAGCGAACTACTACGCTTCCCACGTGCTCAACTTCTCTCTGAAAATTATTGAGTCGGTGGTTTTCGATGACGCTGAGCAAGTTTCTAATTGGAGCCATATTTCAATTTTCACTAACTGAAAGTTAATTAGTCATTTTTAATTAATTAGCGAACTATTTATGAAGTATCGCGTCCGCCACCACAAGTGTTGCGGTCCCGAGAAAAAAAAATTTTTCCTTCTTTGCTTAGATTACACTAATTTTAGCGACTGTTCCGGCACAATCAATGCCACCCCCCCCCCCCCCCCCCCCCCGGCCTGGTTCACACACACACACATACACAAATGTATTTGTTTTGCTAAACACATAACTATGGAAGTCACAATAAAACTAAAAATTGTTTTGAAAGGCGAAGGCAATATTTTATAAATCGCTGACGTTTCAATATCCTAGAGCAAACATAAAAAAAAAAAATACCTAACATTAGCCTTCGGCTTTGCGTTTCTTTTTTGCCAAACTTTGTTCACCCCTAAGCAGGCAGTGTGGTGGGAGTCACGCGCTTGCCGGATCATTCGACCGCCTCCTTTTCATCACCTTCCCCCACTATAATGTACAGTATCAGAGAGCGCACAAGTTACGATGATGCAACTCGCTGGTTCGCTTTTCTCGGCATCAGCATTGGCAGCCAGTGCCGGCAGAGCTGACGACGTCACACTGCCTGGCTTCACCCTGGTCGATTCCTATGGGCACGCACGCGCACGCACGCGCGCGCACGCACCTGCGGTCACAAAGCCGCTTCGAAGACGGGTCGAAAAGTGGCCCGCTGTAAACTCGCGAGATGCCGATGTCAATACACACAGACTGCCGTTTACCCGTAGAGGTGCCGACATTGGCGGAGATGGCACTCCCCCTCGACGTGGCAGACATTGGCGCCGAATCACTGGCGCTGGCAATGTCCGGCACTGTCTGGGCCGTTAACGTCGCCAGAGATGTCTGGACTGCAGAATGAGCCACTAATCCTGCTTAGAAAATGGAGGGTCAAGCCGAACGGGACCTTTCTATTTTCGGCGAAGTCCAGCTTGCCCTATCCGTTGTACCCGATGTCTGCCTCCACTAGGTGGCGCCGTCCTTCGGGAACCTCGCCCGGTAGTCCGCTGGCAGCGGCATCGGGTAACCTTCCTTTAATTAGGCGGCGTCCTGCGACAGTACTAGGCAGGTCGGTTGCTTTTTGGCGTCGGTTGACCCTCGCCGCGGGCCGTGCGCGATGCTGGGCAATCCCGTCCCAGGGTAATCTGCCAAAGCATGCGCCTCGATTTCGCGTGTTTGCTGCTGGCCGCCCGATCGGAGATGCTATATATCACGGGAATAGACGGCTAGAGACGACAATCATCCTGAAGAGACAGCCACGAGCTTTTCGGGATTCTAAATATGCCAGGACTGGAAGTGGATGTTGCCCGAAGCTTCCGATGTCTCTATTTTCCGGTGCACCGAACACGAGCCCCTGACTTCACGTTTCTTTTTCTAAAAGGTT